TGTAATAATACTGTTTAAATTGTATAATATGCATCGCTGTTGCTGTTCTGCTTAGCTGGATCTCACTTTTTACAACCTCAACAGGCGTCTGCCAAAAGCAATTTTTTAAACTCGTGTAGGTTTGTTGGTTGATCATTTTGCCTTTTCACTGGAAAGTGACTCAGTCGCCTTGTAATAGAAGACTATTAATACTAACCTGTTCTGTCACCTGTTCCTCTTATGTTCGCTCTCCTGCAAAGCTACGACCTCCAGCAGAACCTTTAAGGTCTCATTCACACTACTAAGAGCAGGCCCATACAGATCCGCGTGGCGTGCATGGCCGTATTAGGCCGTTCCCGGGAAGGACAGGTGCTGCGTGTTATTGTACGGAGCAGCCTGTTCTTCTCTATGGGAATACACTGCCGTACGCTCACCCGAACTGCACATCCTGATGGATCCTGCTGTGTCCGAGCACGGACACCCGCACGGATGTGCAGTTCGGGTGAGCGTACGGGCGCGTACTCCCATAGAAAAGAACAGGCTGCTGCATACAATCACATGGAACACCTGTCCTTCCCGGGAGCGGCCCGATATGGCTGTGCACTCTGTACGGGCCGGCTCTTAGTAGTGTGAATAACTCCTTAATCTGACACAGTTTCAGGTGTGTCAGATTTCTTGTCCCCCACTTTGCTCTATTGTTCCAACTGCAAGCCCCTACCTCACTACAGGGTCAAAGCACATGGCTGGGGATGCAGCCTCTTTGAAAGACAATATGGAGGAACACACTTGTGCAAAAAATGTGCAAAAGATGCACATGGTTGAAAACCTTTTATAAAAACACTTAAAAACATGCAGAGCTCCCTAAAGGTGCCCACACACCTTACAATTATCTGCAGATTTTCTGTGGTCAGATGAAAAAGTGCAACAGATTGGCCCCGGTGGAGATTACTCCATCCACACAGTTACGTGTAGATGGAGGAATCTGTTGCACCTTTTCCATCTGACCACAGAAAATCTGAAGATAATTGTAAGATATATGGCCAGCTTAAGAGACCAATCCGAAAATCTGCCATAAATAAGTACACATGGACACCTGACCTGGATGATTCGGGAAATTACCTTCATGGCAGGATCATCAGGTATAATTTTAGTGAAAGCTGCAGATTCAAAAGATTTCAACATAATAAGTTTTGCAATGACATTAACATGTTGAAGCATTTATGAGCTTTTAGTGTTCAGGGTTTACATCTACTTTAAGAAATGAGAACAGTAAACAGTCTGTTAAGGGACTGGAACCATGGCATCCCTACTTGTCTCCCAAAGCTTTTTCCAATTTTCCTTTTAATTATGTTTAGAAATTTGTGTTCATAAAGAGCCAACCAATCACGTTTCTTTCATTAGATTGGATTATTAATAATGACAAAATATTATATCAACTTTCCTTATGACTAATCCTGTGGTTTATGTCTCTTTTCTCTGCAGACGTTGGGCACCATTACTGCAGTGCCAATTAAAGTCCCTCAGGTCAGCTCCTTGCATAGATTGGCAGGACACGGACCAGCAGTGCTACCTCAGGTAAACACACTGAATAACACCAAAAGGGCCATAGGGGGTGGGTTAGGGTCTTCATTTTTCAGATGATATTACATTTTTTTGGTTATGTTATACAGAATTTCTTATTCTAAGTTTCACTATTTCCTATGTTGGGAAGTGACAAAAAAAATCTAAAGTGTATTTAAATTTGCCGTCACTGTTCAGCCGACAACATTCCATCTGGCTCCTTCGACAAAAGTCGAATGAATAATCAAAGTTTGTTGAGCTAGCTAATGCCGGCAAGGCCACACACAGCCTAAATTTTGGTCAGCGGGACTTGGATTAAGTTTGAGCAGTGTGTGGCACAGTTCGGTTGGATTCGAAAATTGTTTGCATCTGTGTTATTGTTAATCATGCCTGAAACTTGAATGCTGGAGCAGATTAGATCCATTTAAACCCACTCGGGTAGTAAGGGGAACAGATGACGCAAGTGTGCTTGGGCTCAATGACGCAATGAGAGCACAGGAAGCGTGCTTGGGCTCAAAACAATGTGAGCGCGAGGAAGGGGAGCAATCGTGGTTGGGTATGGTACAAGGCAACCGTGCCTTGTTTGCATACGGCCTAGGAGGTTGCCTCCCTTTTGGATTAGATGGGTTAGGAACGCTCCAAGCTCGCTCCATGATGGACTACAATCTCTCTTTTAGTTCACTAATTTGTATTAGGATTGTAGTCCATCACAGGAGCGAGCTTGGAGCGTTGACTACGTTACAACACACGCAGGCACCATGGGGAACAAAAGTAGCCAACCTCCAGAAGGAAGGACAGTGTCAGCACCAATTCAGGGATCTAAAACTGAGAGATACAGAAATAAGATACATTTTTGTTAATGTTTAAGGGACTTGAATGCATTTTTAAGGTTTAACTCCTGAGTTTAGTGTCACTTTAAGAGCATAGAAGGAATATAGGGAGATGCTTTGCTCTCTCATTGGTTGGCTGCTTGACTCGAGCCCATGCACAGAGGGGAACGGAACCCTGAACATAATTGCCAGGTGTATTCCATTAGAATTCAAATTAACGTGTGTAGACGATTATTACTTAGGCTTCTCATTTGAACAGTCAACCACTTAGGCAGATTCACAAGGACAAGAGCTGCACGTATCATAATGACATGCTTGCCAACACTGCAAATCGTTGTAACAAAGACTGCAGTTTAATCAAGAATGAATGGTTTAAAACAATTGCATCAATAGCACATTTCTGCAACAGCAACGTCGACATTAGTGATTAAGTTTACTAAAAGGTAATCACCAGACCTGCTTAGTCTGATCATGGCAATATTAAACATAATCATTTGCATTTTTGAATGCACCGATTATGCTCTACTCAGCTTTTAACATTTCTTTTGTATGCCATTCTGGGTTTGAATTTTTGGCCCAGTTCACACAAGCAGTTTGTGAACACTAATCAGTAGAGCAATGTGTACAACAGGCATTTAGCATTTTGCAATTGTTGAACAGATTTAAAAGAAACCTGTCCTCTATTTTAAACCTTTAAAACCTGAAGTCCTGCCTAAGAGCAGGTTCGCAGTCTGCCTGCTATTACCTTTTATTAGACGGAACAACCTACCTTGTGTGCCTCAATGATTTCGTTTCACTTTGTAACAGGAGCATGACTTTAAAGTGACATTAAACCCTCAGATTTTTTAACATAAACCAATACTGTAATGTGTGCCTTACTGTAATCCATGGTAGTTTCCCTTCTCTTTGCTGCTCTTCCTTTTAAATCCTCATGTCTTCTCATGCTTGGGGAGAACTTCCCTTTGCAGCTCAGGGCTTCTTCCTGTAGTGCTGGTTCAGGTTACAAACCTATATAAACCTACACACAGACACCATATATCCATTCCTGAGACAAGGCAGTCTGCTGCAAAACAGAAGTTTTGCCCAGCATGAGAACAGATACAGATTTAAAAGGAAGAGCAGCAAAGAGAAGGGAAACTACCATGGATTACTTAAGGCACACATTACACTATTTTTCTATGTTAAAAAAATCTGAGGGTTAAGGCCCCATTCACACCTGACCATTTTGTAGCGCGTCCTACGCTCGATGAACGCTCTACAAAACGGTCAAAAAAATAAATAGCATTGTAGTCAATGGTATCGTTCCCACCTGTCCGTATTTCCGCCCGTCCCGATCGCACTACAAAACGGCCCACGCATGAAAAGGTCCCGGAGCGTTTTTTGCTGCGTATTGGTCCGTTTTGTAGGGCGTTTTCCATTTGTATACTGCCAAGTAGCCTTTGGAATCGCGCGACGGTCGCGTGACTTTTTTACCGCGAATCGCGTTAAAAAACCGCGTGACGGTCGCGCGACAGACGCACATATTACAATACGCATAGGTGTGAATGGGGGCTAAAACCTCCGACCCCTTCCCCACTTAGCTGTGGTCCCTCGTCTCCTCTGCCGGGGCCAGGATGATACTCATCTTTCCAAGAACTTGGGGAGGGGACTGAGGGAGGTATAGGCTCCTTCTTCCGTCAGTTAAAGGGTGACTGTGGGAGCGGGAGCCGTGGTCGTCTGCACACTGTGAGTGTCTATGGACGCAAACAGCTAGGTGCGGGTACGTGCAAGCACGGGTGTCTCCTCAGCAGCCAGCTAGCTGATGCAGACACCTGCACACAAGAAGAGGGGCTAGCGGTTTGGGGACAACTAGAGAATGAGGAAATTAAAAACGTTTACAAAAGAAACAAAAGGCAGTTCAAGTAAGTCCCTTATAATAACAAAATAAAAAAAAACATAAGGTTTAATATCACTTTAAGCCCTTTTGGTTTGATATATATACAGTTGAAAGTGTTTTGTAATATTTGTTCAAAAAGTGCCAAAAGATAACTGTTCATCCTGCCAGAAATCGTGTAGCTTCCTGCACACTCTGAAGCAATGTTATTAGCCCTGCCTGCTTTGGTATGAAGAAGAGGAGAGAGGGGGGTATTCTGTAGTCCGAACACACTTCCTGTCCTGTAGTACAATGCTGCTTCTCCATAGATACTGTACAGTGATTAAATGTTGTCACCCTCGCGGTAAAAAAAACGCGTGACGGTCGCGCGACAGACGCGCATATTACAATACGCATAGGTGTGAATGGGGCCTTAATGTCACTTTAAATCTTAAAAATACATTCATTCTTAACTATTAACATTACTGGACCTTATTTATGTATCACTAAGCTGTAGATCCTCAAATCATCTCTGAATTGGAGCTGACACCAGGTACTTGAATGCATTTTTAAGATCTAACTCCTGAGTTTATCATCACTTTAAGGCTAATTAATGTCATAGAATGTGCCTTGTGGTGTTGGTGCTTAAGTAGGACATTTGTTTTTTTTTATATTTAAAATGTTATGCCAGTTTCACTTTAACCCTTTCGCTGCCAAGCCCTCCGGAACATTTTTCAAATCAGCTGGCCAAGCCATTTTTGAATTTTCTGCAATTTTTTCAGTATACTATAGTTATACTATACTATAAGACCATCAGCTTATAGTAGAACTGTAAATGCCAGGTCGGTATGGCATACTGACCTGGCCAGCTGGAAGCACTTTTGTAGGTCCGTATGCCATACGTCCTTGGCAGCGAAAGGGTTAAAGCATTCTTTAGCTCTAGTTTGGAAGTTTAGTATACATGCTGGCTGTAGCTCATACCAACTTTAATCTGGTGCGCAATTTTAAGGCTTGACATGTTTGGTGTCTATTTACCCGACGTGACCCCGTCTTTTATATTTTACCAAAAATATGGGTAAGGATATGTTTTTTCACATAACGTAGGGAAAGCATTTTTCCCCCTGAAATTTACGGTACTTTTTTCATTTATATAGTAAAAAAATAACCCCCCCAGTGGTGATTATATACCACCAAAAGAAAGCTCCATCTGTCACTAAAAAATGTTCCCATAAATTGCAAGGTTATAGTCCAGTCATGCTGACTGGTGACATTTGTGACTGACTGGTGAGACACCCTAAATTATTTCAAACCTTGTATGTGATGCACTGATACAATTTTTTCCAGACCAAGTACAAGTACCCTTACTTGTCCTCACAGATACCAGTTACTGATAACTTTTTGTGTATTGTCATGTGACAGTTTTTCTAAAACACTGCAGACTAATGATTTCAAGACAGTGGTAGAGCTCCAGGCCCGTCACAGCTGCAATTGCTACAATCCTGGCAGTTCTTGTTAAATTGCCAAGTATCGGCACTGGTATCTGAACTGGTATCTGTGCATCCCTACTTGCTACAAAACTGAGGCCTACAGGAATAGGAAGAGGTTATGTGGGGGCTGTCCCTGCAGCTTTTTTTTTTTTGCCATTGTCCAATTAGCTGAAGGTAGTTGCACAGAACCTAGGGTTAAGAGTACACAATCATATGTCCTGTAATGTTCTCCAAGAAAAGGAATTTACAAGTAGGTTCATGTTTGGGAATCATTTTACCTGCCAAAAGATTTGTAATCAAATATGTATCCTTTTTATAATCCATCCACATTTGCTTTGTTATACATCTACATCTGCTAATGATGGCATGTGGCATCTCACTATAGACAGATTAAACAAAACTGAGCTGAAAAATTATAGTTTTATTAACCACTTCAAGACCAGGTGTTTAGACCCCCTTCCTGGCCAGGCCATTTTTCAGTATTCAGCGCTGCGATACTTTGACTGACGTTTATTCCGTCATGCAACGCTGTACTGAAATGAATTTTATACCATTTTTTGGGGACAGATAGAGGTTTATTTTGGTGGTATTTAATCACCACTGGGGTTTTTACGATCCGCCGGCTCTACAGCGGGCGGATCGCTTGTATGTTAACTGGCACCGCTGCCTGTTTTTAAATTGCAGTCATTTCCCTCTCGGGCGCGCGCGAGGGGGCGTGTCTGAGCGGACGTCTAAAGACGCCAGCTCAGATCTAGAGAGCTCCGGGCCGGCCGTTTTTTTACTACGGCCGGCCCGGAGGTGGTTAAACAAATATAATAAGGAACTAAAGTGTGCGTTTGTATATTTGCCCGGTGTTCTTCTTTAGTAGCCAGCTTGCCATATCAAAACACCGGCATGTAGAATTTTTCTAACCTAATGAAATTTCTGTGAAATAAAAAGGCAACATTTACGTGCAAGTTTGTTGTTTGTACAGCTCATCATTTCTCTTCTCTTGTCGCATTTTACGCTCTGGTTTTATTGAAGAAAGGCATTTGGGTTATTGACATGAAACACACATCCTGTGGGCATGGCTCTACTAGGATTCTGCCGATGGTACACAGAAAATCTTGTGCTTTTGCCTGCTTCATTAATTCACCAGTACAGCCCTGCCTGGCCAGAAAAGACACACATTCTGTGACACCGCTCTGACAGACTTTTAAACCCTTCCAGTCCTTCAGAGTTAGCGGATGTGGAGGCGAGCCTATAAAATTATAAAAACTTACAAGCTGACCTTCAGGCACATAGTACAACTGTGTAAGCTTGCACTATACGTTGCCATCTGAATGAAAAGGGACGCGATGGTAGGAGACCCAGGAGGACCCCACTGCTGACACAGAAAAAACATAAAAAAGCCAGATTGGAGTTTACCAATACTTACCTGAGGAAGCCAAAATCTTTTTGGGAGAATGTGCAGTGGAGAGAGAATATAAAATTATAAACACTTAATTTTTCTGCATCGCTGGCTGGATTCACATAAAGGTTTCACACAGGGCTCTGTTTAATACTTCCATAAAAAGATTATGACTGGTTAATGCAATCGTGGATAGGATAGTGATAGGTCAGTGTGACTTACAGACTGGGTGTTATCATATTGTTTTTCACCTTTGGATGTTATTAAAGTATATCTAAAGCTGGAACTTTTTTTTTTTTTAACCTTGGATAGAGTTAGTGTGATTGTGATTGTAATGTTTTCCTTATATTGTAAAGCGCTGTGCAAACTGTTAGCGCTATATAAATCCTATATAATAATAATAAAAATGTAATTTTTAGGTTTTTCTTTGTTTTGGTAAATCTAAAGGACATCAGAGTGTCTAGTTTCTGGCCAGCTTTTAGGGAAGAAAAATACCTTCTTAGACAGTTGTCACTAGTTAGATGCCCCTATTGGGAGATTTCCCCTCTCTTTCTGTTCTGGCAACTCAAGTTCTTGACTTTCTCATCACTATCAATCCTGGTTACAGTGGCCATTAAGACAAATATAGAGGGTGGATCTTCCCAGCAGGGACAAAGATAAAAATCTTATATTGAATGAAAGGATGAGAGTGCCAAGCTTTAGGGATTGGTAAACATATGGTTTTCATTTGGGTTTTAGCAAGAGTTTACATCAAGTGTGTTTTGGGGATTGTTTGGCTGCCATACAGCCTACTGAATGAGCTCCTAATCACAGTTGATGAAGAATTAAAATTTAGGAGTAACCACTTGTCTGGATTCAACTCCAACAATAAAACTAAGCCCTGATGAACAGGGACTTGTGTATAACCCCTGAAACCTGCTGGCTGTCAAGTCTTACTAAGACCCTATTATTGTGAGAATTTAAAACTTCATATCTGACCCAGTCCCTTTCACTCCCTACATGCTGGTTTTCTCAGGGACCGTGTTGGGGGCAGTTGAGATGGACCTTATTCCAGCAATCATTTGATTTATTTTGGAACTGCCTCCAGACTTGGAGTCCATTGCTCCACCATCCTTCTTCCACAGCAGTAAATATCTGACAGGGGTTCTAAACCTTTCCCACACCATCCAAAACAAAGAAAAAGTTTGACTAGATATGTTTTCAAGGGAATGTACACTGATTTTGCATATATTTAGTTATTTACTAACTATGGTCAGTAACTACAGTACTACTACAGGACTACAGTAAGTAATAACACTTTACAAAATAATTCCAGTAAGGTAGGCAAATATGAATATTGAATATGTATATTTGTATTTTCATTTCCAGGCAGATGGTGGAGTTAATTCCCTTTTCACATTCTTACCTGTCTGTCCTTATCAGCTTTATACAATGAAGACCCTTTGATATCATTGTTTTGTTCTTATACTGTATGTACCATTTGTGTATTTACAGGTTAGGCCAAAGACCCTGATTCCAGACAGTCTCCCCATCTCCCTGTGCAGAGACCAGCCTTTAAAGCAGCCCACCTCATTTCAAAAGGCCACAGTGGTCAGCATCAAAAACCCCAGCCCAGCCCTTCCAACTGCCAACAATACCGTCAGCCACCTCCTGGCTTCCAATGGACAGTCGCAAAGCTCCAGAGAACCCACCATCACCTCGCCTTTGAGCAGCGGAGGAGTGGCCTACGCCATTATATCTACATCGCCCAGCAATGCAAACCCAATCAACACCAGCACCGTGTCTGTGGTCAATGACGGTATCAAAGTACAGCCACTCCTTATCAGCGCTGACAGCAAGGTAGGTTGAGATAAGCTTTTAGGACAGACTTTACCGAGTGGACATGCACAGTTTGAACTTTGACTGATTCCTGTAAATCAGACAAAATCGTGAATTGCCCTGATGGCCCCAACTGACTCAACTAATTTTGACTGCGAAATCAGAGGAGCCGGGTGGAAAATTGTTGGCCAATCAGTGGTGGCAGCCAATCCGCTGCAGTCACCGTTCGAGTATTCAAGCAGCCGAGCTTCTGCAGCTGCTTGGATACAATAGCTGGCAGCGGGTGATTCCTCCATCCATGCTGTGTAATGTGGATAGAGGAATCGTGGAGAGAAAAATCAGTGTGCGGCCAGCTTAAAGCATTCACTGAAAACTGCAGAAAACACATATCAGCTAGTTAGTGGTTTACATTTCTTTGAAAAATAGAAAGGCAGAACCTGATTGATTGCAGTGGATTCCTACACCATCCTGAGAATCCAGCTGTTTAGAATCACATTTAGTGGAACTCTCTGTTAAGTGATTTTTCTTTATTTATCTACATGGGCTTTGGCATCACAGTAATGTGCAGATGCAGCCGGGGACAGGAATATCAGCATTGCCACCACTGATAGATAAGCTTGTCTCTTGTGCCTATGCCGAATACCCCTGCCACCTTCAGGGCCATTGCACAGCAGAGTCAGTGCCTGGGACATTGTGAAAGAAACTTTCTGCAGATGTTGTGAGACCAGATAACACAATTTTTTGGATTATTGCCTGACAGACAGAGTTTTTAACTATAGATGCATCTATAGTTGCACGTTTGTTTGCATAGCAAAGTTGAGAGCTGATTAAAGAGAACCAGTCAGCACTGTTATCCATTTGGAATCTGCAGACTCTGCCTTAAATTACAATACCACTGCATACTTCTAAAATATTTATGTTTCACCCTTGTTCAGGTTTACTTGACCACCAGGGACCTATTGCTAGTCACTCTTATTAAACAGTCAACATATTTGTTTTTAGGTGATCATCATACAACCTCAAGTTCAGAGCCAACCAGAGAGCAAGAAAGAATTCAAGAAGCCTTGTGAAGAACCGCCTCAGGGACCCCCAGCTACCAAAAAGAAAAAGGAGGAAAATCCTGAGGTATAAAGTATTTTTTACTACATACAGTTTTGATTACAGCAGAAAGTTCCTTAACTGTATAAGAGTACAATATGTACTGTCCCTTTAAAGTAAGACTGTCACAAAGTGGGTAATTTAAAATAAGCTGTATGTGAACCACAACCTTTTCTGTAAAAGTTAAGTTTAGTATTGCCCCTTTTACTTCAACCAAATGGGGAATTTCATTCACTAATAAAGAGGCACGTGAGTTTAGTAGTGGGGTACACACGACTTTTTACAGATATCTATATCTCTCAATCTACTGATCATTTTGACATAGATTTCACTGAACTGCTGTTAATGCATTTCCCATTATATGCACAGTCTAAATTGTCCAGGTTTGTGACATATGTATTTAAAAAATCAAGTATATATTTTATTTAGCAACAAATTATTTCATTTAAAGACACCGTCACTTTGTCCATTGATTTGCCCACAAAATAGAACTGGGGTCCAGGGTAGAGGGGAGTGTGACTTTCCCCATGTGGCATCGCTCTGGGCTGAGCAGCCAGTCGCCAGGCCCTACAAGTGTCATGTAGGTAGGGCAGGGACACCATCTAATGGGGTAAGCACCGACATCATCTGATAACTAAAGTTTACCCAGGGTGGACTTTTACAGGGGGGAGGCAGCAAGGGAGTATAGATCAGTTAGTATACATTTGTGGGAGGGGGAATTGTCACTTTCCTCGAACGGGGACAGTATTTCTTTACAGACTAATAAAGTTCACATTTTTGTATTTTGTATGTCCACGTTCCAAGAAAGCATTTTATATATTGTTAGTTCCATTGGCTGCGTATCTAATCATGACCTCATGACCCCCATCCCGTGCCTTCTCTAGAAACGTATTTAAAGTTGCAGAATTCAAGGCATTTTCTTAAATGTCATTTTTCTTCTCTTTTACCTAGAAAATTGCCTTCATGGTAGCACTTGGCCTAGTTACAACAGAACATTTGGAAGGTGAGTTAAACTGAACATAGTAAGTTATAATAACATGCTAAGCTATGAATGTTCAAATGTTCAAAATTCAAACTGCTTAAATTCTAATTCTGTTCTGTGGATCCAAAAGAAGTTTGACTCCTTCATTCTCCATAATAGAGAGCAAATAACAAAAATCCAAAAAACTTGTGTGTTAATTCTTATAATTGCATCGAAAAGATATGTATATTTTATTATAATGACAGACGCAAATGAGGGAGCTGATGTACTGAAACCTCTCCCCTATAATCTCCACAAGATATAGGAATCCAGTAAACAATTTAGGTCACCAACAGCCACCCAAAATTAACGGTTTTGGGTGAAGAGACCTTTTAAAGTATATTACTTTCAGCTCCATTGTGCTTTGTGCCACCATTTTGTTAGTTGTCCCTGGATGGGCTTGTTGCTTCTTCCTGTATGAGAGGCTTCCCCACAACTGGCACAAATTCCTTCTGTCAAGCACTTGTGCAGATGACTAACTGCATAGCTTTGTACTTATATACATGCTGTTCTTGTGGCCTGATTGGGTTGCCTGGTCTGGAGCCAATCCGTCTTACGATACTGTTTACAGAGAAACTGAACGACTCTTCATCATGGCCTGTTTTTTCTGGACTCAGACTGTGGCTCGATTACACATTACTTCCCCCCCAGTCCTACTGCTGCCATTCTAAAATGGTTATTACTGGCTGTGATTAACAGGGCCAGTTTAAAAAAAACGTGACTTGGGTTTAGAGCTGGTTTTGGTTAAGTTAAGAAACTAGTGTTGGGTCTTGTTTCTGTTGCCTGGCCCATTAGAGGTTGGGACATGTGTCATACAAGTCATATCAGTTTCTGCCACACAAATAGGCTTGGACTGTAATGTTCTTACCACTTACAGTGTAGAGTTAGTTTCATCAGTTTTTGATCCACAAGCTAATGCTTGCCACAGTCATACACACTCAGTAGGGCCAGTCTGGTCAGCAGACAAAGAACTACCATGTTTTGGGACCATGGAAGAAGACTAGATTGCAGGAATGAGATACATACAGCTGGTATGCCAATAGAGTCTCTGGTGGATAACTACGCAATTGCAATTAGTCACATCCCAGCTGCCATCTTTCTATTGTAGGACAGCAAAGTAAAGATAATTTGTCAGTAACTATACTTTGCCTTGCTTATGGAGTAACTCTGTTACTTACTGCATGCCTTCATGTGTGCAAATGTCTATCACAGCCACCAAGTCGCTGACTTGGCTGAATTAGCAAACTGCTTGTTTAGCAGTTATTTTTGCAGCAGATGGGTTCTGTGTGTCCCCTTTATCCTTGATCCCAAACTCTGTATTTATTTGGTGGATTTATGCAGGTGTCAAACAACTGCATAAAACGCTACACCGAAATCCATGGAATTTAAGGAAAATGTTATAAAACCAATACCAGAGAAGCCAAAAATAAAACACATCAGCTGTAATTTTTTCTAATTCACAGTGACCTAGTGGCAGTCAGCATTGTGGTCTTTCTATCACATGGTCCTAGACTTCTATCCCATCCAAGAGCGCAATCTGCATTAAATTATATGTTCGCCATATATTTGGGGGGGTTCAGAAGTCCAGCAGAGGAGAATTACACAGGGCTGGCATCACTGGTTTGAATTGGATTTGTGGCACAGTATTTTTCTGTACTTGCAGTGTTGCAGAGACAAACATGCTGAAATGTGCAGGTATTGCAGAAATGTACTGTATATGGTTTTTTATTCTGCACAGACATACGCTTATATGTTCAGTTAGCCGAAGTAGCTCAATTAGTATTAACCACTTGCTCCCCAGGCCAATATCTTACTATTTGCACGCACGATAAAATCTGAATTTTGGCTAGAAAACAGCTTAAAACCCCCAACAATGATATATTTTCTGAAAGCAGAGGCCCTGGAAAATAAAACAAAATCAAACTAGTATCTTTAGGAGAAAATACACTAAAAAGAAATTTAGTGCACAGAAACAGAATATAATAGCCAATTTTGGGGTAAAATATAAAAGAAGGGGTCACGCCGGGTAAATGGATACCAAGCATGTCCAGCCTTAAAGTTGCGTTCACCCATAAAACCGCAAATTACTACAATACCCCAAAGTTCCCATAGGCGACGCTTTAAAAGCTTTAACTGCTCATCAGTTTAATGTTACCAGTGATTGATGGCCCTAGAGTTATTGCTCTCACTCTGACGTTCGCGGTGAGGTGTAACGTGCGGCACAATTTTAGTTTTTGCATGTAGACGCATCTGACACGTGTTTGCGTTGTATGTGCGTGCACGTGGGGGACTTTAAGAAAAAATGTTTCGCACTGATGAAGAAGAGATCTGCTTCACCAGTTTCTTCTTCTGGCTCAAAGAGCCGGGGAATGTACCCAGTGACACCGGAAGTGATGTCATACACATCACTTCCGGGTCCAGTGATCAGAGGAGAGATCAGCGGCTACAAGCTTGCCGATCTCCCTACAATCTGTCAGGGGAGACCCGCTGTGTCGGTCATAGGCCCGCAGGGGGGACAGCAGAGCCCGGGGAAGCCAGCTGCGGCCCCGGCAGTGGTGGAGGGAGAAGGGCACACATCGCCGTACCTTACAAACCATCCGGCGACTATACAGATGACAGATTGCTTGCACATAGACAGCAATCGCCTGTTGTTTAAAACAGCAGCAGCCGTGTTCTTGGTATAACCACTTCAAGCAGATGACGTGTATTTATGTGAACCCGCATGAAATAGCGCTCAGTCTTGGAGGGGCTGCCCTAGGAGCGAATCAGGTAGTGCTGCAGTGCACATGTGCTAACAAGAAGCATACAGGAAGAAGGAGAGAGCAAAGATATGATGATATCTATATGTTGCTGCCTCTTTTTGCTGTCCAGTCAGCAAGCTGCGGACAGAGACGTGACACCACTGTATTCCTTAATTCTGACAGAATATTCATAAATGGAATGGCGTCTTTACTTCTATTACAATATCAATTACAATCATAGTGTAATTCCTGTAGAGAGCATTAGTCCGAATCCTGCCTGTAATTAGCTACTGGACTGCCCAGACTTTGGCTGCCCATAATTGTAAGGCTTTGCCTCAGTAGGCCTTTCATGTCTTGTCAGTGTCGGGTACATCAGTGCAGCATTTACCTGTAATATTTTCTGATGGTGCACATCTGCTGCTAAGACTAAAGTGGCTGCATATCATATATGATTCTCCAGGGAGCAATTAATGAAAACACTGCCCACTTTCAGCTAAACATCCCTCTTCAGAAAATGTTAAAAAACAAGAATGTGTTAATCTGCCTCAGACAGAATGAACTCTCAGGCTATGCTTGTAATGACAGCTGCAAACTGGCATCTGCTCTCAGATATTCCGAGAGATTCTCCAAAATTTCCGCTGATAGCTCTTAGCTTCTGTGTTCTTCCGCTAATACCCAGACCACACAAGTCTTCAGTACAAAGTAACCAGCTCTTCCGTTCCAGGGCCTAGTAATTCTGTGCTTCTCTCTCCCCGCTCCATTTCATCAGCATAATGTATATGCATATGTCACAGCCTTTTGGCACTCGTTACATGTTTGATGCATCTGCTAATTTAAGACTTTTTGCTGATCGTTCGCTTTTTCATTTTTGCATTTCACTGACACAAGTGACTTCTTTTCTAGACATTAAAGCTGCAGACATTCAGATTCTGTTTTTTTTCCCCCAGTAAAAACACACTATGGCCTAAACATTGCTTGTTGTCTGTATTTTTATAGTACATGTATATTTTTCACTGCTGCACAAAGTACAATACACCAATAAAATGAAGACTTGTCACACTGAATTGTACAGTATGATGTTACTGCTAGTCACCCAGATAGTCGTATTTGGCCTTACCAGTGTGGTGTATGCAGGGTCCAAATAGCATTTCCCCCGTTTACTGTCACTCACCTAGGCATTGTAGCTGTAGCCGTTGATGTTTATCCACAAAGTATGTCTTGTGCTGCATACTGAATGTGTAGAAATGTCATTCTGAGCCTGATGAAGGGGACCCTGTGTGGCCCCGAAAGCGCTAGCTTTTGAATGGTGATGTTCCTTCAATAAATGGACTTTTGCTTATTTCATTGAACCTTTAGTGTGCTGGTGACATTTCTACACATTCAGTTTCTGCATGTTGCCATCTGTGGGCGCTGCAAGCACCCACCTGTATATCGGGTATTTTTAACCTGGTAAGGAGTGCAACAAGATACTTGTTCTACACACTTGTGCTGCATAATGTCTCTGATTGACAGTATGTTCTACACACTTGTGCTGCATAAGGTCTCTGCTTGACAGCCAGCGGTGGCCCATCAAAGTCTGGCACTACACATCATGTACTGTTTCACATGGAAAATTATTTCTTTTTTCTTAGAAACACAAAGCTCCATTCTCTAAGCTATAACTACTATTATTTACCATAAGGACTCAGCAGCTTAGCTTCCCTGCATTCCCCTCCCAGCGGAGACTGTTCTGCTGTCAACTTTAAGGATGAATTGCTCCATAATGCCTTGCTCCATAGTGCTGTTCCAGAGGTCCATTAGGGCTTGTTTAAAAGCTCATTTAATGCTTGTTGAGAATATGTAAATACTTGAATGTCCTTACCTTATACACGGGTTCTCTTCAAGCGCTCATTTTATTGCCTAATGAAGGTGTTAACTTATAGATGTGCAGACCTACCACATTAACAAAATAGCTGACAAGGTCACACATCATCATTGGTTATATAGGAGAGAGAAAGTGGGAAATAGACCAGGACACAAAATCACTTTATGTTTGTACTTTCATTATCCAGATCTCCACAACTGTTGTTCCCATTATGGTTCCCACTCTGTCTGTTGGGAACACCCCAGTGTTGGTAAAAGAGAACCCCCAACTCCAGGATGAACAAGAATTGATCCAAGAACTAGAGAGGAAAGATTTTCTTAGAAATATAAAAGCCAGCAGTTGACTGAGGTTACCAGACTCCCCCCAAAATGTCACTTTCCAGTTGATTGATTCTTTACTACGGTAGTAGTTTTTTTGTTAAAAAAAAATATTTTACCGAAAGCTTACAGGTTTTTTACGTCTTATCCAGTAAGCTTTTCCCAGTTTCTCCCCTCGGCATCATATTTATCACCAACATTTGTAACATCCATCACTGCTCTTGGCTTTCTATGAAAAACCCTAATGTAAATGTGTTTCCATGGTTACAGAGATCCAAAGCAAACGTCATGAGAGGAAAAGAAGAAGCACAGCTAACCCGGCCTACAGCGGCCTTTTAGAACCAGAGGTACGACAGAAAAGTTTACATACCTTTTCTTGTGTGTCTTAAAGTGTGACTCCACCTTTCTGTCAGATTTGGGATTGTAAGGCCCAGAAGCAATTTGTTGTTCCCTTCTGCATGTACAGTCACTTAAAATGATCCACTTGTGTTTTTTGTATGTAAACAGTACATCATCAGCTATGGACACAGCTGCCAATGGCTTCCCAGGGTGCAAGTAAAGGGGGGTACCAGGATAGTAGTTTGTTTGCTCAAATGAATGAGTGAAACTGAGGGTAATGCCTTTGAAACAAAATTCCAAACAGATAGATTTCTCACACCTCTTTTTGTTGACCCTTTGCTGCATTCTTCATATATTCTTAAGGTGTAATTTGCACTTATATTGTAGCGTCCATGCCCTGAGTCCCACTTTCCATGTAATTCACCTATCTCCAACATCATTGACAAGTTTGCACAGCTTCTTGTCAAAATCCTATGAGCCAGGCCTGTGTGTATGCTGCGCACTTTGCAATCAGTTCTACTGGGGGGTTGGAGCACAGATCATGAATCATCTATGGCTGTGATGGCGAACCTTGGCACTCCAGCTGTTTTGTAACTACAAGTCCCATGAGGCATTGCAAGGCTCTGACAGCCACAGACATAACTCCCAGAGGCAGATGCATCTTGGGATTTGTAGTTTTGGCACAGCTAGAGTGCCAAGGTTCGCCACCACAGATCTATGGGATTGAATGGCGAGTGCACAGTACATGCGAAGGCCCAGCTCAGGAAATGTTGACAAGAAGCTGTGTGACCTTGTCCGCGATATCTTGATGATGTGGAGACAGGCGAGTATAAAACTGGAGTGATGGCTGGGTGCACAGGAAGCTACTCGTAAGGTGCAGGTATAACTTAAGGAAAACATACTACAGGGTCATACTACATACACATACTATTTGTTTTCCTACTTAAAGAAAACACATCACAGAGCCATACTACATGGGACATCCTACTTTGGGAAACACTAATGCTAGTACAATAATGCTGGTGCCACTGCCCCCTAGTGAATTTCATCCCCCCAATAAGAGTTTTAAATAGATATCCACTTTAATGGCTGATTGCATTAGAAATAATGGAAAGCTTTCAAAGCATAAGGTCTTGTCTTCATGCATATTTCCCCCAAAACATAGGTACAAGGACCGCTTGGTATGATGATTGCACTAAAGGTATCCATTAACCACTGTGTGACCACAACATGTCATGCATATATGCAGTAAGGCTGGTCAGTAGCATAGCAGCAGAGAACTAGGAGTGCACACCTGTGTGTGTTCCTAGCTCTCAGATCTATCAAACTGACAGATTAGTCATAAAATTATAGTTAAGTTATCTGACACATACTGACACCACTAAGTTTGTTCTGGGCATCTAAGTTTCAATAACATCTGTTTGTTTTCTGTTGTAAACAAATCACTTCTCTCAATCCTTTGGGAGCAGTTTATACAGCACAGGCAGAATGGAACAAAACACAATTAGGATACTATTGACAAAGTTCGTTATTTCACTGCTCTGCCTTACTGCCTCAAATTTGTTCAAAGCCAGAGTTACACTTAATGTAAATAAAATGTTTGTATTTGTGATCCTGATCAATGTGACTTTGTGAAATGCACAATGCAATCAGCCAGCAATTCTGGGACTTTTGTCATGTATGACTGGAAAGGGAGGGAGGAGCAGAATTCAATGAATTGTATGTTTCACTCATGCATATTCACAGCCCCGTGCTCGGCGACTCTTGACGGCCGGAAATAAATTGCCAAATGAATGGAAGTCAGCGTAATTGCTTTGTGTTTTGTGACAGCCGGGATATAGTGTGAAATATTCACTGCAGTTTATTCAGTACCAGTAAGATTACCTTGTAAAGCACTTCTAGCCCTCCGTCCTGAAATCGCTGAATAATCAGATTGCACATTCCCAGCGTGAGGGATGGAGGATTTTTGCACTTGTACACGATGTAAACATGAAATCATTGACGACTAAGCAGTACAAAATGCTGACAACGAACAAGAATCCTCTGAATGGATTGTTGAGGTTACACTGAACACTTGGTGGGTTTTCGGGAAATGTAATGGTTATAATGGATTTTCACTGCTGTTTTATTTGTATGCCCTTTGCCCATTTGCACTGCAATGTTTTCCCTGAAATGTAATATTTGAAAAGGGAGCATGATGTTGGAATAACGTGTTTATCAGAACTATTGTTTGGGTAGAATACCAGGTGTCTTAGGGACTGTGTCTGAGTTCTGTGTCTCATGGCGTTCTTATTGTGTCTTCAGCGGAAACGCCTTGCCTCAAACTATTTGAGTAACCCGTTCTTAACAGGGAAAGGTAAGTCCCCCCCACCTTTGGGACTCTACTAAATCTCTATTCGCATGACTATGTGTGATTCGGACCGCTGCCCCCTTCTGGCCCTGCCACTTATTTAACCTAACCCAGCAAAGCAGCACAAAAGAGGATTTTAGGATTTTAAAGCAACCCATGTCGCTTGTATAAAAGATCGGCCTGCAGGATCCTGTGAAAGAAGAAGCTGAATACTTACCTCTCCAGTAAGTCAAATCTCTGATCTTTTTTTCCCACAGTTACTGGTGCCGCTTCTATCTGACACTTCCACAGATAGCCGGTTCCTGCCAGGCACTGTGGTTACTTCTGCCAGCCCGCACATTGCCAATATGCCCTAGAGTGGCATAGTGGCCTGTGGGACAAACCACAGAACCCAGTAGGGGACCTGCTATCTGACATACCTGAAAGTGACGGATAACAGTGGCAGTGGTGACTGTGGAAGAAAACTAACCCACCAGAGAGGTAAGTATCTAGCTTCTTTTTATACAGGATGCTGCAGACTGGATTTTTTTATGCAAGTCAAAGGGATCAGCCAAAACGTTATTTGTTTTTTATTTTATGGTTAGAATCACTGTCAGGTACTTATTGCTGACTGTTGACCAATTGGGAATATTTCTTCTTGCCCGATGACAACTGGGACAGACAGCGAAAGGAAATCTGAAATCCATCCAAAGGGACACAGATGGCATTGAAAAGCTGATGGATGTTCTGACCTTCCCAAACTTTACTCAAGATATTCTTTTATTGTTGCTGTGTCTCCTCTCACTTCTTGTTCTGGAGATAATGCTGTCACTATAACAGAAAGTGAGGCGAAATCCCCCAAACTGCAGCCAAAAACCTGGTTATGACTTTCCCCAATTTATGCAAAATGACATACTAACCAAAAGCTTTGGCTGGAGTTCCACTTCCACCACTTTGGATGTCTCTTGGAGAGCAATCTACACTAAAATTCGCAGCTCCACCCCAGTAAATAAATAGTTAATGGGATCATATCTCTATAGGTTGAACTCGATGGACATGTGTCTTTTTTCAACCTGACTAACTATGTAACTATGTCCATCAACGAGAGACTGACACCTCTTGTGGTGGCTATTCTAAAATGTTAACAGAGCTACAAAATGACTTTTATTTCATAAGATGGCCTTCCCAAGGTCTTGTTCACTGTAACCTTCACACTGTTGTCATGACACATTCCTGTATATATTCCAGGAGTTTACTAATTAATACCGTTACTAAACGCTTCACCAAAGCCGCATGATTAATGGTCCTGTAGCTGCTTTGCAAGCAAATTGATTATCTTATCAAGTTGCTAATCATAAAATTGTATATCTTAAGGTGATCCATAATGCTAGTTGAATGTCATTAAAGGTCGGGCCCTTACTCCTTGAAGGTCTATTATAGCACAAGCTAACATTGTCTAGTACGATTAACAATTACTTGGTTTGGTTTACTTGGTTTAAATTTACTACCAACATGAGGTGTATTACTGCTTTTAGGTGCGTTCACTTTAGCTGCATTTAGAGAAATAGAATTCTGTGTTTTCAGGATCTGCTAAGAAACTTTAAATGCACCCAAACTCTTGTTAAGACTAGAACATCTAAGCACAGGAGAACTTGATCTGGGAAGCATGAAGTTTATTTATACATCCCAGGTCATTTGTCCTGTATTCAAATAACCTAAAGGTAGAAGTGCCAATGTGAATGTAGCCTGAAAGGTACACTTTGTTTTGCTTGGAAGGTGATGTAAAGGTCTGCATGTGAAATTACTCTTTATGCTGCTACAGTTTTAGCCTTGGTGTGAATATTCAGAGTATCGTTCTCCCTTCCTTTCCCCCCCTTTCCATATATATATAAACAGGAATGTATGTCCAGCACACAGAAAAAATATAATGCTCTGCAAACTGTAAAACATAATAGAAACACAACAGGAACATAAAGTGACACTAAGCTCAGGAGATAAATCTTAAAAATGCATTCAAGTACCCTAACTATTAACAAAAATGTAGATTATTTGTGTATCACTCGGCTGTAGATCCTTTTAATCAGCTCTGAATTGGTGCGGACACTGTCCTTCCTTCTGGAGGGTGGCTACTTGTGTTCCCCATGGTCCCTGTGTGTGTTGTAAAGTAGCCACCGCTCCAAGCTCACTCCTGTGATGGACTACAATCTCATGTTTAGTTTACTCATTTATACTGACACTATAGTCCATCACGGGAGTGAGCTGGGCTACTTTACAACACATACAGTGACCATGGGGAACAAAAATAGCCCCCCTCCAGAAGGAAGGACAGTGTCCGCACCAATTCAGAGCTGATTAAAAGGATCTACAGCCGAGTGATACACAAATAAGATACATTTTTGTTAATAAGGTACTTAAATGTATTTCTAAGATTTAACTTCTGAGTTTAGTGTCACTTTAAAGCTGCCTTAATGCAGGGATGGCCAAACTGCGCCCTCCAGCTGTGGTGGAACTACGATTACCATGAGGCTTTGCAAGATTCTCACAGCCACAGACATGACTCCCTGGGAGAGATGCTTCATGGGATTTGTTGTTTCACCACAGCTGGAGGGCCGGAGTCTGGCCATCCCTGCCTTAATGATACTAAATGGAGCACAGCCTACAATACAGAGTTGACAGTTTGCCCACCTCCTCCTGCATTTCTTTTGAGCCCATCATTATGATGGACTTCCTTACTGACCAATAGTTTGAGGGGATTATTATAATAATGACAAGGGTGGAAGAGCTGCCCTTGTGGATGTTTTGCATAGGGGTATATATGTGGAAACGAAGTAACTAGACTCCCCTGTTGATTGAAAATACTCTTTTAAACAAATTCAGTTTGCTTGGTTCTAACTAAGTTTGTTTATAGACTTAATAGAAACATTGGTTCAACCCACAGAACAGCTATCAGTGCTGTGTGATATGTAACTGGTTACTAGTATTGTATTGCCTTTGTTATGATATAGCACAAGCACACAAAATGGCTGCCACGGGTATTGGCTCTGTAGTGGTGTTACTGGTGCTTAGTTTAGGCCACATCATCATAAACACTCCTGAATTGATGAGATCCTTTCCCTTCTGAAACATATCGTTCATTAGTCAGTTTAATATGTGTGCTGATATTTTTGGGCTATTTTAAAGCTGCTTCTTGCCATAGAACCAGTTGGTCTTATTTTCTTCAAACTGATAGAAGGACATATTTCCAAATTTCAGTGGACTTTTTAATGCAGACAGTAGCTTAATTTTCTGCAAAGACCTAACAGTCCACAGGCTTATTAATTTACAGAACTTGGAATTAGGGATGCACCGATATATCGGCCGCCAAAACATATCGGCTGAAAATTGCACTTTTGGCATAATGCCGAAAGTGCCATTTTCTGGCTAATACAGCGGTGCATCCGTGATTTCTCTCCTCCCCGCTGGGTGCTGCTCTGTGTCCCAGCGGGGAGGAGAGAAAGTGTCACACGAGGCCAAGCGCTGCAGGAGGAGAGAGCTGTGAGCGGCCAGCATCTCCTCCCCGCCTCCTGTCACAGATCGGCAAATCGGTGTGTGGGCGGAGATAGCTAGCCCTGTCCCAAGAGGCTGAGCTTTCCTTCCGCTCTGCTGTCAGAAAGGAGAGCGGGTACAAGCACTCAGTGATCAGTGATCGCTAAGTGTTTGTAAATAATTGAGGACATAGTATGGTTTCTGTGTCCTCAATAATGAATGAATGGGAAGTGATCTATATCACCTCCTGTTCATTCATGATTGTGGTTATAGTAAACATACTCTGTTCTCATGTTGTGATTGAACAGGAACACTCAGTATAGAGGATTCCTGTTCATTGATAACAGGGGCTGCAGAAAGAGATTGAGGGGTCTGTGTCCTCTTTTTCTTTTTTAAACGGGAAATCTCAGGGGTCTGTTTAGACCCCTAATATATCCCTAATATATCCCGGAAGCCCCTAAAAGTAAAGTAAAAAAGAAAAATATTTAATAAAAAATGATTAAATAAATAAAAATGAATATTAAAAATGAAAAAGTTTTAAAAAATCAATAAAATATTTATAAAATTTGAAAAAGTTAAAATAAAAAACATTTTCTGTTTCGGCCTGACCATTTTTTTTAATTTCGGTTTTGTTTCGGTTTGGAAATTTTCATTTCAGTGCACCTCCTACTTAGAATGTATCCATCAAGTTAATCATAACAGCATACATATCCTGCATGAACAGTGTATGCACTAACCCTACAACACTCACCACGTACCCCTCGCATAGTTTGTACCCCTCCTTGCTTTGTTGCACATTTGCTCTCACTCTGTCCACTAACCTGTTTTTACCCTTCTTTATATGCTAGCCATTTCGGATTCCTGTTGGAAGGTATGTTTGTAAGGTTTACCCAATAATTACTTTGTTGTTAGAGATATCGCTTCTATTCAACGTCCCTTTTTTGTAACCTTTGAGGTGACAATGTCAAGGAGAAAAGGATTTCTAGAAGGGCTGTCGGCATACAATCAGCTGCAAAAGTTCTGGGACAATGTTTAGATATGTGTGTGATCGTATAAGCAGGAAGAAACATGTCACCGGGACATTGTCCATCGATAAACAACCTGTATTAACTTGTGCAGAAGTACCCTTAACTTGTGCAGAAGTACCCTTAGGACGTGCCCATAGGGTTCCAGGTTTTAGATCTACAATAAAATTGGGCTGGTGACGTATGTATTTTCATGGTGTATTAGATATATCTACGTGTGTATAGTACCACATCCAGAGAAATGATTGCAAACCAGATAAAAACAATGTGCCCGACGTTAATGGTACCCAATCTCACACATGTAACATTTTTAATATACTTTATTATTAAAGTTGTTGGAAATCCATAAAAAAACCTTATTATTATATCTACACACAACATATACATATAGATACACAGGGGGGCATTGATCAAAACTGGAGCAGACACAATCTGGGGCAGCTGTGCATGGCAACCAATCAGCTTCTCTGTCTCATTTTCAAATCTTCCTGAGCAAACTGAAGAGAGAAGCTGATTGGTTGCCCTGGGCAATTGCTCCAGATTTTGTCTGCTCCAGTTTTGATAAATTCCCCCCAATGGGTCTCAATATTCTGAGGGATATCCCACTTACCCCTACTGGGCTAGCCTTGTACTACATTATCATATCTCGTTCATTAATAAATCAACTTCATCCTAGTTATTGTACATGCCAGTACTCCCAGCTCGGTGGGGGTATATATATCTTATATATCTTGTATATTTATTTTCATGGTAGCTGACATCCCTATCTTTATGGCTACCGTGAATTCTGTGATCTCTGGATATGTAGCCCATCCTGTGTAAGGGTAAGGGCTCTTAATTTTCTTGTCACTCATTCTTTTAGGGATCCACTGAGTAACCTTTCAGTCAGTTGTATGCTGAATGGTGTGCTCTGTGGTCATACAATGTATCTTCCGTAGTCGGAAATCTCTGCTGTACGTTGATATCACTGCAGTTTATAATTGTTGACATCGTTGGCCTGTAATGTTTTAGACATAAAAAAAGAGGGGATTCTATAGTGAAGCTGTATTCCATTAACCCAGTCATTCCCTGTCAAGATCAACTCTCAAATAAATTATAATTTACCAAGACATTCCCTCCCAAAAGAGATATCCAAGTAGGGATAACAATCATAAATCAATATATTATGTACCAAAACATCAAATATTTTTGCATATAATATATTGGATACATTATGGATGAAAAGATTTTTTGCATGTGATATATTGATTTGTGATTGTTATCTCTGCTTGGATATCTCTTAGGAGGGAATGATTGGTAAATTATACATTTTTTAGACTTCTTATTATGTGAAAAATAGTTCAAAGAATACAGTATCTGATATCGAAACGTTTTTCTATTGGATAGACTAAGGGGATGGTGAATCCCCAATAAGGTTTTTCCCAATCTGTGAACAATGGGGGAGATTACTTTTTCCATCCTGTAGACACTACAGGCAGTCCCCGAGTTACATACATCCGACTTACATACGACTCCGACTTACAAACAGAGGTTATTACTGTACAGCAGGGGTAGTTGTAATGCTACTGCGCTCATGCTGACGAGGACTGCCCGCTTTTTTGGATCTGGTTTGTAGTACTGTACTTACATTACAGGAAGTTGTCTCTTGTTAGACGTGCAGACGAGGGGTGCGCGCCGCTTCTTCCGGGTCACTGTGAGGTTTTTACTGCGGTCTGTATCCTCATTAGAAAGATTTAATATCACTTCCTGTCCTTGAGACAACAGGAAGTGAGAGGAAATCTACCCCTAGGAAGGGAAATTCATGGGAAAAAGGTGTCTCTTCTGAAGCTTTATCACCAATCCTTGTTTCCACGACAACCCAAAATTTTCAAAATCCAATTGTCACAGGGACAGAAAGTGAGGTGAAATCTTCTGAACAGGGGCACACACAGCAAAACAAATGTTACAGGGGGTTAACCCTTCCCTATGCTATCCAAAACAAATGTACCTGTTCCAACTTACATACAAATTATTTTCTTTTAAGGCTATTGGACTGTGAGCAGAAATCAGTCCTATGTGTTCACAGACAGAAATACTAACCTGACAAATACAAACCACACATTTTATCTCTTCCTCCTACTATCTACAACACTTTAAAGCTGAACTCCAGCATTACCTTCAGTTGTCCTTTGTACTGAAATTGCTTACTCTGATTTCACTGCACACTTCCCAGTGTGCATTACAAGCTGCAGCTAGTCAGTCTGTCTCATTTCCTGGCTGGAGGACATCCAGCATCATCTAGCACTTTCCTCTCCAGCCTCACTGTCCCTGGCTCCTGCTTCTTTCATTAATAGCATCCACCCATCAAGGCATTTTGATATTTGCATAACTCCTCTGAAGAGCCTGTCCACTGCTTATATCAGGACCGAGGACTTTTGAAAGGAGTACTGAAGCAGGGTGCTATGATGTTTTCAGAAGTCTTTGTACAGCACCCTACTGACCCCTCCCACCAGCTATGATCTGCCTGCATTGTATAGAGAAGCACAGATACCCAGTGATGACATCACATGGTCTAAAATAAAGTACAAGGTAAATACTAGGGATGCACCCATACCAGTGTTTCGGTATCGAGTACGAGTACCGATATTTTTACCAATTGTTTTTTAACCTATACCAGAAGACCCATTAACCACTTGAAGTCCGCAGTGTTAAACCCCCTTTTTGTCCAGGCCATTTTTCAGTATTCAGCGCTGTGGTACTTTGACTGACATTTATTCAGTTATGCAACGCTGTACTGAAATTAATTTTATACCATTTTTAGGGGACAGATGGAGCTTTCTTTCGGTGGTATTTAATCACAACTGGGGTTTTTATTTTTTACTACATTAAGGAAAAATTACCGAAAATGTAAAAAAGAACTGTTTCCCCTATATTAAATTATAAAACATTTATTATTACCCAATTTTCTGGTAAAATATAAAACGCTGGGTCACGTCAGGTAAAAAGACACCAAACATGTCAAGCCTTAAAATTGCGCGCGTGCGAAACCTCAAAAAACTACAATACCCAAAATTGGCCATAGGCGACGCTTTAAAAGCTTTTACCGCTCATCAGTTTAGTGTTATCAGTGATTGATAGCTCTAAAATTATTGCTCTCACTCTGACATTCGCGGCGATATCTAACATGTGTAGCGCAATTGTAATTTTCGCGCGCTGGCGCATCGAACGCGGATGTACAATTATATGTGCGTAAACGTGGGGGTGGGGTTGGGTAATGACTCGCCCAAATACTTGGTATCGGCACAGATACCAATACTAGTATCTGTAAATACAGATATAGACCTATTTAATTACATTTTTACATATACAAAGTAGATATAGAGGCACTCACGGGTCTTGCAGCGGAGAAGTCAAAGCATCAGCATTTTATGGACTGAGCTCCACCGAAACATTGACAATAAAATGCTGATGCTTTGACTTCTCCGCTGCAAGACCCGTGAGTGCCTCTATATCTTCTTTGGATTTGTATGGATATTTTTGTGGAGGTGCACCTGGGCATTTACCTTACAAATAGAGCGTGGTGGCTAACTCTGGGACCATTTATTTTTTACATATATGCATGACAGTTTCTGGTCCACAATATGGTCTTTCTTTGCATGTATGGCATTGCCAATAGGAATCACAGCATGCACTGGGTGGGAGGAGTTGGGGGTCTCTGTAACTAAAAACTAAAACAATTTACACATTTCACATGCTTTACACGGCTGAGAGTGTGCAGCAGATTATAACATGAAATATTTTTTTACATCAAGTATCTGATTGCTCAATAACATTTCAGGGTTGTACATTTTTTTCAACTAATATTGATCTATGCTGTAAAACTAGAACATCTTCTTCACTGGGTCAGGTTATTTCCCATTTACATCTACACTGAAAAGATACATGGTTTTAAGATATGATATGATATTATACATCCCTGTTCATAAATATGCTGCGTCTGTGAAAGTCTGCCATTTATTTATATTTCTCAGGATGTTTTATGTTTCATGTTTACAGGCTGTTATTGTTGGTCTTTTTTCCATGATCATTTCTGTTCTCTATAAACTGGCGATAAAAAATGTAATAGGAAGTTACTTAAGAAATATTAGCAATGGTGTAGCAAATTGGCAAAGAAATGATAAGGCCACTGCTCCAAGCTCGCTTCCGTCACGGACTATAACTTCAATACAAATTAGTAAACTAAACGTGAGATTGTAGTCCATGAAAAGAGTGAGCTTGGAGCGGTGACTACTTTACAACACACACAGGAACCATGGGGAACAAAAGTAGCCCCCCTCCAGATGGAAGGACAGTGTCAGCACCACTTCAGAGATGGTTTGAGGATCTACAGCCGAGTGATACACAGATAAGATAAATTTTTGTTCATAGTTAGGGTACTTGAATGCATTTTTAAGATTTAACTCCTGAGTGTAGTGTCACTTTAAGCATACAGTAGTGAGATGCATTCTGATTGGTTGCTGTGGGTTACTAGAGGTTTCAGGGTCGGTTGTTATATAAGCTGTTTTTGTTACGTACAAATTGCCTTTATCCCAAAACGGTTTCAGTTACAGTTGCAAGTGCTGTCAAATCCCAGTTGGCACTTTTTATATTATGTGATTGTTTATACAATTTGTGATTTAATTTGTCACATTTATTGGTATTTAAACTCTGCAATGAGTGCTATCAGAACATTCAGTCTTGAAAAATGCAATTTGTGGCGTTAATTTGATGATTACTTTCTTTTATTAGCAAAAAGGAAAAGAAAATCAAACATCTTTGTGATAATTTGTTTTCTCTTTGTTATTTGTTGATAGGATCAGATCATTCACGATGAACACTGCTCAGCATGCAAACGTGGCAATAATTTGCAGCCCTGTGGAAACTGCCCAAGAGCTTACCATGTAAACTGCTTGGACTCACCTGTGAAAATAGCACCCAAGGGGGTGTGGATGTGTCCTAAGTGCCAGCAAAAGGTGAGAAGCAGCATACCACACCATGCTGTTAACTGTGCAGTTTTTACTTTATTTTAAAGTTGACCTTTCAGTAACCTTACAAGTCTGCCTGAGCAAAGTCCTCACATGTCATAATATACTACAGCTACTGTAAAATGTATTTTGTTTTCTGCATGATGGTGCTAATAAAAGTTCCTGCCTGGACTGTGGCACTCCTTGGAGTTTCCTGTGTTACAGAGGAATGCTTAATTATTGTTAAGGTGTATCCTTCAGTAACTTTGCAAATTTGCATGAATAAATTACTCCCATGTCAAAATATACAACAGTAAGAGGTATCTTTAATAGGGGCTGCAACCAATTAATCTCATAATCGATTAGTTGGTTGGATCCCTAGCTCTCTCCTCCATGCTGGGAGGAGGCCACAGCAAGCAGTGGGCGGTCGCAACAGCCAGCTTGCTATTGGCTATTGCAGTTTGAAATGGCCAATAGCAGGCTGGCTATTGCACCAGCCCACTACCTGCTGTATTTGCCACTGGCAGCTGTTATTCCCTGGCTGAAATCAAGCGCCATGTGCTTCCAATTATTTAAAAAATAATAACAATAAAAGGTGGGAAAAAGGTCATTTTGGTTTCGGCCTGACAAATTCTGCTGCGGGAGGTGCGTTACAGTGCCACTCATTTCAGTGGCACCCCAAACGTGCCTCCCACCCACAGTGTGATCGTCCATACTGGAACGCACGGTAACGCAATGTTGTGCGTTCCAGAGCAGTGCAATTGCAAATTGTTGTGCATGAACATACAATGTACCACCCAAGCCTTGAGATATTGAACCCTTTCTTAGAACAGGCAGTGTGCACATCTAGATCTGCCAGCACAGTACAGAGTTAACTATGGTAAATATAGTTCCCCAGCCCCCTCCTAAACATTACATAGAACGGGAAAGCTAGAAAGGGAAATTAGATTTTTTAGCAAGTAAAAAAAAAAAAAAAAAGGTAAAATGTTACCTTACTTGCTAAAAATCTTTTTACTTGCTAAAAAATGTTTGAATATTTTTTTAAAGTTCTACTGCGTGAATGAGAACATGTAAAAAGAAGACGTAATCCCTATTTGGCTGCAAAAGTTTAAATACACTATAAGGTAATCCTGATCCCACATATTGTCCTGTTTCTACGAAGGTCCAGAGTCATCATTTGAGAGTTCATAAGATATCAATATATAGCCCATAAACAATCGATCTAGTTGCACAAGTTGATGACTTCTGTTTTATTTTGAACTTACTCTGTATTAGAATAGGGGACAGCTAGAACTCTTGTCAGGTTTTATTTTTGTCTGTTGCAGTTGCATATTTTCTCATTTCCTGTCTGATGAAACCATTGTCAGCAGGACAGGAAGTGAAGATAAAGGTCTCAAACGGAGCCCCCAAAGGAGTTCTAATACTTCCCCACTCTGTTTTTAAAAAAAGGAACGTTTTTGACATACACCCTCAGGACATTTCAATGGACTTTCTGACTTTAAAGAAGAACTATGAGGCTAAGTATTTTCCCCATAGTTCTCCTTAGGGTAACGGGAGGACACAAACTAGCGTCCTCCCGTTACCCTAAGCTCAGTATACTGCAAGCTGTAGCTCGCGGTATACTGAGACGTAGCAGTATACCGCGAGCAGCTGCTCGCGGTATACTGAGGCGAGGTTCTCAAATTCAGTATTATATTAGGTTTGACAGAGAAATCATATATGTTTATAAGTTGGTATTTTCAGTTTGCTTAGGGAGCTGTAAATAATAACTATAAAGGATCACTCTACCCTAAACCCCTTCCCTACACACCCTGACAAATTGATACTGTATGCATTATGTGAAAGACCTACCAATAACATTCACAGATAATGTAGAGAACTCCCACATGTGCACAGAAAATGAGATATTTGCCTCTCCGCTGTCCAGCCTTTTCATCTGCTTCATTGTGGACAATTGAACAATTGGTATTTTAGACAGGAAGTCGGCTGTGTGTTGGATAATATTGCTCCTTGCTGTGTCCATGGTTTAAAATACTTACTGCGCTAATGATCTACAAGTTTAACACTTTTATTCCTAAACACTTTTACAAATTCTTTTTAGATATTGCAGTGTGTGAAAGTGATGCTATTTATGAGCCTTTTAACTACAAATTTATTTTTTCTCCAGACACACCTTTTTTCTGTACCGTTTTCTTTTTTCTTTTCTTTTGCTTGTGTTGAAATAAAATGTTTCCTCTTGCCTTTCTTTGTCTGCCTTCAGGTATTAAAGAAGGAGACAGTGCCATGGAGTGGAGCTGTTGCTATTGTTCAGTCCTATGTAACACATAAATCAGGTATGGTCCTTTTTATCATGGCTGAAGACTATACAGTGTATATATCATGGAGTGAGTGAAGCTGTGTTGTAAGCCGCCTTTAACGTTTATACATTTACTAGTGACTGTGGAAGAGAGACACCTGTATGGTTAGTTTCTCTGTGTTTAACTGGGTTCAGATATTCGCAGATGAAAAAGGAGTGGACGGTACTTTGGATTTTAATGTGGCAGAACACACAAAGTGGAGGAACACAGTAATCTGCAGGAACATAGTGAGAGGGGTGACTTAGTCTCCTTTATCACTTCACTATGGCACCATAAGTCTAACAGAGGGGCCACTCAAATTTTGCATCAATGAATTGAAAAATTCTCCAGCACTCAGTTTAGCTCAAGTTCGTTCAAAATAGCGGAAGACCTCCAGTGTGTATCTGCACCAAATACAACAAACCCCCAAAAAACATTTATAAGTAGCAAAGAAAAAGGTGCAGGATGGTGGCGCATGCAGTGCACTGGACAATACAGTACAATGCAAACACCCTTGGGGTTCTTCAGGTGCCTTGTTTGGACCTCTGTGTGAGTCTGACTTCTCCAAGATAAGCCTGCTCTTGGTTTATTTATTGATACAAGTATGTCATAGGTTAGGCATTCGGTTAGTTAAGATTGATGGACTGCACTTTACAGTGGTGCCTTGATGCTGCAGTGAGGCCTCACATGTATTTGCAAATGGAACAATGCAAACAAAAGGTGTAATGCAACAAAAACCATGTAAATGTTAGGTTAGAAGCTGTTAAAAACACTTTTGTGTGCTGACTAGCTGGATTGAGTGCTGGGGAGTTCAATATATTGCCCCATTCACATGCACCTTTCCCTTGTTAATTGTAAATTGAGTGGCTGCCATTTTTTTGTTTTTTTGCTTGGCTAAAACTCAAAGTGTTCCCCTGATATATGTAAAGGGGTGTTTAGGACCAAACAAAAGACAAAGAGCGCCTCCATCGCGTGTAAACGCTTTAATAAAATGAATTAAACACATAAAATCATACTCACAAAAATTGAGTTTTTACAGGCATGAATTGAATAAAAACACGAGCAGTTGAGCCCACCGGCTGCTCTTCCTCCCTGAGGTTAGGTTAACGTTTCTGAGGCCACGCCTCCTTCATCAGAACCACGCTGAAGGTTGTTGGCTGCTAGTGTTTAGGACCAGTTCACTACAAGCCGTTACACATGAAATAGTTATTATTGGAAAATTAGGAGCCTGGAAGTAAACGGCACAATCCGAGGACTGAACACATTATGGGGCAGTGTAAGCTGGTTTTGCTGCCCATTTTGCATTGTTTGTCAGTGTGTGTAAAAACGTACAATGCGTGGCATTTTGATGCGTGATTTTACCATACATTAAATGTGCTGCCATGAGTTTCCATTGATTTTTATAAAACAGACCAGTGTGAATGCAGCCTAATGGCAGGTTAAAGAAGTACTCCAGACAAATAAAATCTTAACCCTTGCAGTGGAGCTACCCCCTCATGGCAGTTGGGTGCTCGTTTTGTCTAGGGAGCTAAAATAACTCACCTGAACCGCGATCCCGGCTGGCTGTTATTCCCACCCCTTCAGCCTCCCTCCCCAACTGCTCCAGCAGTCTAACCAGTAAATCATCACATCCTATAAAGTGTATAGGACGTGAGGATGCCAAGAGACAGACAATCGCTGGAGCAGAGGAGGAGACCAGCTGAAGGGACCAGTGAAGAATCCAGCCAAGATTGTGGTTTGGGAGAGTATAACTCTGTTATTTTAGCATCCTTGACAAAATGCGCACTTAACCCTTACAGTGCAGGGTAGCCCAATTGCAAGGGTTAAGACTTTCTTTGTCCAGAGTTCTTCTTTGAGGTCAGGTCTCTGTGCAGGCCACTAAAGTTCCTCCACACCAAGCACATCAAACTGTGTCTTTATGGAGCTGGCTTTGTGCACAGGGAAAAAAGGGCCTTCACCAAACTGTTACCACAAGATTGGAAGCTCACAGTTGCCAAAAATGTATGTTGTAGCATTAACAGTACCCTTCACTGGAGACACCTGAACTCAATAATTTGGAGGAGTGTCCACATACTTTTAGCCATATAGTATGTATGATGGTCAGGTGTCCACAAACATTTTGCTATATGTCCAGGTGTCTGAACTAGCATAAAAGTCAAGGATCCTGTACTGTATTAAGCTTTTCCATGCTACCTCTAAGCATATGTTTAAAATTATTCTGACGCATTACTGCAGCACATCTGCTCCTTCTTTTGCCTTTGTGTGTGTTTCTGATCTCTTTACCCGTATTTGTGGCAGACAGCTGACCCTCTGTGTTTTTTCCAGTGAAAGAAGAAGAAAAGAGAAAGTTATTGAAGAAAGGTAATGAGTTAAAGAATGAGCAGAGGCAGCTAGAAGATCAGGAGAGACTTCTGAGAGAAGCTATGAAGGTACAGTTTTCAGTAACGTGGAAATCTCGATCAAGTCCTCTTACCTTATTGTACTTTGTTTTATATTTATTTTACTCATTTATATACTGCTGAATCTGCAGAGATTCACTCTATATGTCCTGGTGACCATGGTCACTGGGATGGAAAGTGATGAGAAATCCAAAATGTAAGGATGCCAATGCAACAGGGCATGAGTGGAAGATTTCCAGTGGGTACATCCGTTTGACACCAGCCTAAAATCGTGTTGTCCCTCACTTCTCTCACTAATAGAACACAGACTGCAAAAAAAAGATCTCTGCCAAAGTGGGGCTACCCCTGCACGTGACATCATTAGACGTGATAATGTCACGGGTCCTCAGACCACCAGAGCCTAGCAGCCAGGCGGGACTGAGGATCAGGTGGGTATGTCTTCTTTATTTTTATCCCTAGACCAAAACATGCACTTAACCCTTGCAGTGCAGGGGTAGCTTCACTGCAAGGGTGAATTTTAATAAAATCCTGTTCTTTAAGTAGAACATGTAGAAGAGCTATGGGTTCCTTTCCTAACAGGGACATGCAGTCTGTATATACTTACTTGGTTTGAGGGCTTCCATCTTCACAGGCTAAGCTTCAGAGCCACTCAATGCAAGAGGAGGATACCTGTAATTATGGGGTTTAGTTAGGAGTATGACAAGCTATCGAGATTAAAATGGAAGTCACTTAGCAGCTTTTGATTCATATTTAATGCAAAAAATGTTCATGTTTGACTGAACTGTACCTTTTAAACTTTACTGCTTATTCAGAGGAGTGTTGGCCATGCCGCATTTCCTGAATACAGAGCACTGCACATTCAGTTATTACATACTGGTCCAATCTTTGCTTATTCATTCATACACCGACTTTTATTATTCAGTTTTTAACAATAAGCAACATATTGTATTCTCTCCCTGTCACAGAAATGCTTAGAGCTGAAGAATAGCTTGCTGGCCCGGCAGAGAGGAACTCAGTCATCACTGGAACGCCTCAAAAGTCTCATTAGACTGATACAAAACGAACAGATGCTTCAGGTTACCATGACAACCACGACCACCTCCTCCTCCTCATCCTTGCTAACTGTTCCCTGGATCAAACCCTCCGCCTCCACCCCTGCTTTACACAAAGGCCTGCAGCAGCCTCAGACCAACAACTGACACAGCCAGATGGAACAATAACTTTAAGCAAATTTTGCCAAGAAGGAATACACGAGAATGAAACAAAAAAAAATGAAAGAACTGCCTGTCATTTGTACTCGACAAGTACACGTTCATCAACAGAACTCGCAAACGCATTAACGTGGGTTGCAATAGCGGAGAGACCAGGGCGTGCTACGCTACATGCCAACACCTTCAGTGCTTATGAGTTTCTTCATTTTACTTTTTGGCCTTAAATTACTTATGGATCGTTGAAATTCAAGAAAACTAAAAAAAACAAAGCTGAAAATAAAAACTAAGCAAAAAAAAAAAAAGGGCCAAACTATAGCAAGAGGCATGGGGAAAGTTAGGTCTTGCTTAACTCAATGCAGCTTTTCATTCATACATCAGAAGGCTGAAATATGGTAGTCAATAAGAAAGGGGCTTCAGGACTATATTTCGGGGTTATGGATAGATAATGGAAAAAATTTAAGAGTTGGGGGATTTTTTTCGGACTCCTTATAGCCCTTTGAAGTGAAATTTGCCACACGTATTCAGGTTCATTGTCTAATGGGGCTTCTTTTTTAAAATAAAAAATAATGGGTTATGTTAGGAACTGCTCAGAGCCTTCAAACAAAAAAAGATGATTTTTTTTTCCAGTATTAATACAGCTGATATATCAAGAGAAATCTGTATAAAAACTTAGCGTTTTTAGTGGGATAATGAAGTATTTTCATGCTGACGCTTGTGTATATGCTCGCTCGACTATTTATCGAAGTACGACTGTACAACTCCTTAATTTCATTAAGGTCCTTTATACTTATTTTGCTATCGATGTCTGTCATGAAGCTTTTTGTTCTCCCATTTCCTTCTTTGAAAGATATAACAATGACAAAGTGAGTAACTTTGCTAGAGCGACTTATTTTACATTTTGGTAAAAGAAGAATTTTTTGCTCTCTTTTATTTTTTAAACAGATATTTTATTTCTCTCTCTTTTTTTTTTTGCCAGCACAGACAATATGCCAAAAAAACCCTTAAACTTTTTTGTACTGCATTTTTATTGTAAAATATGTAATGTGAATGGAACAATATGCGTTTTTATTTTAAGCGTGCAGAAGATTCTGCTCTATGGTACAGGAGATTTAAAGAAAAACTGCCTCAAGTGGAGTTTTACATATCTGATATATGGTTTTGTTTTGAATTATAGTTCTTTTTATGTTTTTGATTATTAGAGAAAGGGGATCGTGAGGGGCAGAGGAGTCGTTCACATTATTTTTAAATGTGCGGCTTCTTAAACAACGCATTTGCTGTATGTTAATTAGCTAGTCTTCCTGATGCAACAGTGGTCAGCTAAGCCTAGCGTTTTATTAGGCCACAGGATCCCGCGGACTGTCATTGGACTGAAAGGGTCTCTAGACCATGGATTGCCAGTAATTGCAACATGCATTTCCTGTTTTCTTGAAATTGTTTATTGTCAATAAGTCAAGAATCCAAATTAATCGGCACCTTTCAGAATGTATTTTGTTGAGACCATTTATTTTTACAAGGACAGATTTACGCTATGCCATACTCAAGGATTGTTTGTCATTTTTTAAATACTCATTCATCAGTCAGTTTGGTGCCGGTGTTGACACTGTAGTTTACTTGCCAAAACTGGTGTGTTAGAACAACCTGGCCTTATGTTCAGGTAAGAGCCGAGTCTGTGGTGTCCTTTTGAGTATATTCTTCCCCATAACTGCTCTGCATCATTCTGCTCTGCATCAACGTCTCTTACATTATCTAGCAGAGATAACGTTTAACATTTTCTCCCTTTTGCAATTAGTCTCTGTGAGGAGGCAGCCATCCTGGTAGAGGCAGGACTATCCCAAAGTCTTGATGATCTGATGACTGCTGGGTGAATACTCAAGAATCATCAGGGGTAGTTTAGAAAGCATAGACCTGCAAGCGGAGGCAGAATCAGGGAGATCCTTGCACTGCAGGTCCTCCGGTACAGCTTCCTCTCCAGTAAGGAGGACAGTGAGCAGCACAGCAGTGACATCACCAAATCTCACTCCAAATCTGGTGAGACTAGCAGTCCGAGGCAGCAGTGCCTTAGATTATCGCACTGCAGATATACAGCTATGAGGCTTAAGACACAGGAATGACTAGGCACATGAAGTGCACTGCTATTTGTCAGATAGATATTTCAGAGTACTGATTGGGAACATCGAACATTTCTAGATGTATAAGATATTAAATATTCACACTGAGTTTCGGTCCACTTTAAACCTTCTTTTTTTTTTTTTTTTTTTACATCAGAGGAACTGAAATCATTTTCATATCTTGGGTAACCCCTGCTAACAATTAGCTCAATACAATAGTATGTTCTAGAATGTTTTATGTAAAGGAATAAACATTGTGACATACCTTTTTGAAATGGTGGATGATTTTTCAACACTCTCCTGCTTTACATGACACAATTATTTTCAGTAATAATCACAAACCAAGCAATAATAATGTAGTGTCCTTGTACACTAGTGGTCAGTGGAGAAGGGCCCCTTACACTGAGGGCTTGTTTATACCATGTCTATTGAGCTGCATTGATCTACATATTAATATTATTATTATTATTATTATACAGGATTTATATAGGGCCAACAGTTTGCACAGCGCTTTACAATATAAGGAAGACATTACAATCACAAGACAAGATGGTAAGGAGGGCCCTGCTCCTGAGGGCTTACAATCTAAAAGGGAGGGACAAGTGATACATGAGGAGGTAGCTGTGTGGGGATGAATTTTACATAGAGGGCACATAGAAAAAAAAAATGTTTTTTGTGCCCTCTTCACACCATACAGGTGCATTGCAGTGCACTACATAAAAATTCAGTATGTTGTAACTTTGCAACAAATGCAGCTCCCCTAAACAATGCACGCCAGGACACACAGGTTATAGCGTGCAGGCTGGTGTGAAAGAGCCCTAATGGTCAGTGAAAAGTGCCCCCTAGCAACTTCTGGGGAAACTTCAGGGTTTCACGAAAACCATGGTTGAGAAAGGTTGCTTTAATTTTTTAAGAAGGGGGAAATAAAGGAAGAGGTGACATCTCTATGTAGTTGTGGGAGTTTACAAGGAAGAATGATATAGAAAAGAAATATGTAGGAGGGATTTCTAAAATGGACACTGCAGACAAGGTATACAGGCAACTATTCACCCAGCTGTTCGGAGGCAGCTCCAAAAATAACAATTGCCAACAATATCACTTATTGCTTGCCTGATTGATGAATAAGGAGTACTTTAAAAATGATGTGTAGTTCTTAAAGGGGCCTCCACTTTCATAGAAAAGTGTATTGAAGGCCTCCGATGTAGGAAAAGAGAAGGGTCCCTGCCTCCCGTTCCTAGTTTCTTTCTCAGTTATATGATCTTGGTGTTTAATCAGCAACGTTCCTGTATGTGTCACGGAGTTTTGCTACAAGTCCTTGTTGTGTGAATGCACACAGTATAGACATTCCACAGCAGGATTTAAAGTGTATGTAGGGAATTGGGGGGAATTTATCAAAACTCTAGCAGACAAAATCTGGAGCAGATTCCCATAATAACCACGCAGCTTCTCCATTCGGCTTGTTCCGTTAAGCTTTGAAAATTAAAGATAGAATCTGATTGGTTACTCTGGGCAACTACCCCAGATTCTGTCTGCTCCAGTTTGGATAAATTCCCCTCTTTGTTTCCAGTTTTGGACAGGAGGGGACGAGTTAGACCATCTGCCAAGTTTCTATTGTAGCAGACACAGAAATTAAGGGCAATCCTAAATTTCAGAGTTGCAATGGCAGCAAGAGGTCAAGGAAAATTTACGATGGGGACACATCTTTTTAGCAGGACGCAGAAAACAACAAAAATAACCTGATTAGGTTATTTTCGCTTCCCTGTGTTGTCCAAACCTAAAAAAAAACAAAACTTATGGATATACATACGCTTTAAGATGGCCACACTTGTTACAGTCTGATCACCATCAAATGTACAACTGTATAGTGGGAGGGCAAGCTGGATTATATATAAATTGAATAGATTGGTTGAGTAGGCCCTTGGAGTACCTAGTTAATCATATATCTATTGCAGATTGTATAAAGGTTGTCTAGCCAGATGGTAATGTGCATAACCAGCTTTAGGTTGCTTATGATGGGGAAACGCTAGCCTTTCTGTGTTACAGCAAGGAAGGTCTGAAGCAGGGCTCTTCTTATAGTAAAATGTAAAGAGCCACCTTAAGAACTTTTACACTTTAAATGTAGGGGGGCTTCTGCTTTAAGGGCCAGTTCCCACCACAAACAGTGCGCTCCAGAGCGGTATCGCAATCCAGCTAGCTCCCTGCTGGAGGGGGCGTGCCTTTGCATTTAAGTCAATGGCACTGCAGCCACGTCAAAAGATGTTCCGGTCCAGTGCGATCTGCAAAAATGCTGCAAGAACTATTTTTGCAGATCACACTGGACTGGGATGCAGGAACTGATGTGCCACGCATTCAGGTGCGGGCGATTGCACTGCAGGCTGGGGGGAGGAGGGGTGTGGGGCGTGGCTGCAGTGCCATTTACTTCATGCCCCTTCCTACCCATGAACGCAGGGAGCCAGCCAGTTTGTGATACAGTGCATTCCAGAGACTGACCGCTCTGGAACGCACTGCTTGTGGTGTGAACCAGCCCTAAACCCTTCTGTGCATTCGTACAGCAGGGCCATCCCCTCTTAACTCTTCTTAAACACTAGGCCCAATCATTTAAATATAGATTTGTAACCGAAGTGCTGGAATATCTGGTCTGACCTAATGCAATGCCAGCTTTCATCTGCTGTGGAACTGCTCCTAATCCAACGAAAACTGAATGGTCATAGAAGGAATGTGGGGTCTTCTCAGTGTACCTATAAGGATGGGTACCCCGTGTGACTTTTTGATCAAAGTGGAACACCCCTTTAAGGCTGTCCTAATAACTCTGTTTAATTAGTGTTAGAATTCAGGTTTTATTTATTGTAGTTGTTATGAAGGATCACTCCACTGAAAGCTAATTTTTTGGGCAGGAATTTGTAGGAGCGATCACCATCTTACTTCTTATATCTCTGGAGGGGTCCAGCAGCAAAAAAAAATGTATTTCAATAGAGAACTAACTTTTTCTGCAGTAGTTAATTTTATACCACCCAAATACAGCAGAAAAAGTGAACCTGCTTGGGTGACAACCAGAAAATAAAAGTCAGATATCAGTCTAATGAAGTCAGCAAATCATTCATAACAGCGCCCATCAGTAATTCAGATCAGATGTTGGTT